GGGACAGGGGACAGGGGAACAGGGGAACAGGGGAACAGGGGACAGGGAACAGGGGGACAGGGGGACAGGGCTCTGGGACAGGGGGACAGAGGGACAGGGGACAGGGCTCCAGCCAGCCCAGCCAGCTGGGTGCATTTCCATCCCAGCCCTGCTCCAATGAGTGACTCGGATCCCCCAGCCCCCTCCTGCTCCTGTGGCACTGTCTGAAGACCAAGGCTGGTTGACTCCAGCTAAAGGAGCAGCTTCGTGGCTCTCTGGGAAGTTCTGCCGCTCCAGTTTTTGGAAAGGAAGTTGCAAAGCAGAAATCACATTCAGGCCATTTGGAGGATGAGGACTCAGTGACCCACACCACAGATCCAAACTCACTCCAGGTTAGACACCAGGATACCTTTGACCACAGGCACAGCTGTACACCATCCCCTGCCTTGGGAATTTTTCCATGCAGATTGTACTGGACTTTATGAAAAATCAAGCATTACTTTCTGGTAAGGTGGTAAAATGTAACGCTTTCTAAAACATCGAGTATCTAACATTAACACAGATGTAACAGAGTCCTGGTACAAGACACTTGGGCTGGACTGCCTGCTAGGAGCAGCTGGTATTTATGGAGCAACACTTCATAACAGCCACAGCTGGTTACACAGGATTTTCCTGGAAGAGATGACTCAAACTAACTCAAAGATTTAGCAGAGGCAAACCATTTTCTAAAACTCTTGCAAAGAGGAGCTGGCCAGTATGGCAAAGGGCTGGAGGATGGGTTGGTGTGGGGTCATGCAGGTCCTGCTCACAGAGGTCCTCATGCCAGTTCTTCAAGAACATCATCTGAAATGAGCAGCAGAAATGTCCAGAGAACTGCCAAGGAATGAGGTACCAGTAGAGCTGGCTTTGATGCTGGACATTCCATAGCTCCTCAGCGCAGCACAGCATTTCCAGCTGCAGTTCCCTGTGCTCCAAAACCCAAATCTGCCCCAGATGCAGCAGCAGCCAGCTGAGACCTGCGGGCAGGAGAGCCCGGGCACAGTCCTGGCACTGGGGGAACCTCCGGAAATGCTTCTCCAAGACAAATGTTTACAGTTCCCATCCCCACCGGGGACAAGCTCGCACACGCATCCCACGGCATGGAAGCCTCTTGTGTCACTGGGTTCAGCCCTTGCAGACAGCAAGAAGCACCAGGGGTAAGCAGAGTGCCTGAGGCTGTGCAGCCCCGGGAAATTCCTCTATTCTCATTGATGCAGAGAGTGAAATCTGAAAGACACCTGTTCCCTCCCTGCCCTTCACAATGGACACAAACATTCACACTCAGGACAGAGACAGAGACAGAGCCACCTCATGCTGGTGGCTCACTGAGTCACCAGGGAAATTCTGAAAAAACCCGCACTGTGTCTAAAATTGCTTTTTCCTGTACATATTGATTGAAAAAAAGAATTTGAAAATATTCTAATCTCTGGATTACTTTTAAATAAAATTTTAAATATTGAGATCATTCCGTAGGTCAGTGACAACAAGCCGTATGATCTCGGCTAATTTTGTGGTGTTTGGGGAGTCCTCTAACCAGGCACTCAAGATGGACAAATGCAGGGGAAGAGTTTATTGTTTGTCAGACTATTCTATCTGTTAAATGAGGAATTTATCCCAGAGGACCCCATAAAAGCAGGAGCTGAAGCACTGCAATGCCAATAGCTGGAGGAACATTCCAGAGAGACTTTGGGTTATGGGATCCAGGAAAAACAGAGCACCAGCTAATACACAGCACTGGTCAGCAAAACAACAAGTGCAGTGGGCCGCAGGAATAAAAGGGACAGGGGAAAAAATCAAGGAGGATTAGAAATCCTGGGACAGGAAACTCTGGGCCACGTTCATGTGTTCAGTTCAAGAAGGTCATGGAGGGGCTGCAGCATATCCAGGGAAGGGAGCTGGGGAAGGGGCTGGAGCAGCTGAGGGAGCTGGAAAGGGGCTCAGCCTGGAGAAAAGGAGGCTCAGGGGGGACCTTCTCACTCCCTGACAGAAGAGTGGAGCCAGCCAGGGGTTGGGCTCTGCTCCCAGGGAACAAGAGACAGGACAGAAGGAAACAGCCTGAAGTTGTGCCAGGGGAGGGTCAGGTTGGACACTGGGGAGAAATTCTTCATGGAAAGGGCTGTCAGACATTGGTACAGGCTACCCAGGGCAGTGGTGGAGTCCCCAGCCCTGGAGGGATTTAACAGCCACGTGGATGTGGCACTTGGGGACATGGGTCAGTGGTGGCTCTGGCAGTGCTGGGGGAATGATTTGACTTGATGATCTCTGAGGGCTTTTCCAACCCAAACGATTCTGTGATTCTGTGATTCCACTTCAGCCTTTTGCCCTCAGCCAAGTCCCACCACTCAAAACACATCCCGTTCCTGCTGGGGAGCAAGAACAGGGGCTGATGTATTTTCTCCACTCAACAATCAACTACAGCAGCCAACCATATCCACATTCCTGGAGCCTTTGTAGCACCAAGGATCTACCATCCCCCTCCCACCCCATGGGACCTCTCTCACGCCCCGCTGAGGAGCTCAGACACTGCAGGTGAGACTCAACCTGCAGCAATGGGACCCAACTCACTGCTCCAAAGCCCTGGAACACACCTACGGCACAGGGAGAGCTAAACCCAATTATGATTTCTGTTCCAGAGACCCGCCCTGATTACCTGGGAAGCCAATTTCAGCAACAAAGGCCTAATAACTCATTTTACGATGCGATGTGACAAATATAATTACAAGAGAGAAAGGGGCTGAAGGCTGCAGCCATGATGTGGCACTTACCCAAGCTGTCAGCGTGCACCACCTGATTCCCAGCGAGCCTCCTGCCAGAGCCAAGCCCTGCTGCTGGAGCTGGCTCTCCATCACCCCGGCGCTAACGCACGCTGTCACTAATAACAGCTCCCACAGCCCCAGCATTCCTGCATGCTGGCTTGGGACCATCATTTACAGACAATGAGTATCATCATAATGTATGAGCATCCATGTAATGGGAATTACATGCCCCTTTTCCTCCCCAGGGGTTAGCATTTCTCTGTTTCTCCACTATTCCCCACAGGCACTGACCTTCTGGGTTCTTCTTCTTCCCAGCAAGGTGAAACAGCTCCTGGCAGCATCAGCTGCTAAGACAGCTTCAAACAAATAATCTGCCAATAAAAGTTCAAAGCTATCCTGAATGCCTAAAAATTTAGTGCAGTGGCTGTACAGTGTAAGGT